ACAAGACATTCACTTGGTTGGTCAGGAAACATATGTTGTGGATTGAGGGAGTGGAGGAAAACTCAGTGATTTACCCTTTCAACAAAACCTAACATAATTATCTTTATTAGTTAATGCCCATAATGCCATTCTTATTTTAACTAGGGAAGGACTAAATGTTAATTCTCCCTGAATACACCATTGTCACCTGTGTGAGTTTGTAAAGTGACTTAAAATGAAGGACTTTCCATGGCAGACCAAATTCCCTAGTCCTCTCTTGGCTTTCAGTTGTCCCTGACTCTGAGACATCAGATATAAAAGCAGCTAACAGTCTGCTCATTCCTCTGAAGCCAGGAGTAGAAGCAGTTTGGAAGACATTTTGTTTCATCTCTTTTTTTAAGTCCTTTAAACATATTTCTGGAGAGAGTAGCTAATAATAAGATAGGTAGGTGGATGGCAGTAAGTTAACTAAAATGTTCAGAATAGCTCTGAGTACAATCACATTTAAAAATAGAGAGAACAGGACAGGAACAAAAGCCTACTAACTCAGTATATCCAGTTCAGATGTAGCTAATGTCCCTATTTAGCATCTTCAAGTTTCTCACACTTTCCTCACCAACCTAAGAATGTGCCTCTAGCACTGGCGAGCCTGCCAAGTCCAAGGACATGGGAATGTGAATTATCAAACAAGCTGGGGATGAAAGGTGCTGAAATCATCTTTTTAGAATATTGCCAAAAAAAAACAGCTTGAGTTTCTAGGGTGCTAATTGCTGAAATATGTTTTGGCTTCCGTATTCATTCTGAGCTTATGACCCACTAACCAAAAGGTAAGAAGGATGCTGTAAAAGGAAAAAAGAAGAGCAGTGAGGGAGCAGAGTAAGGAAGTGTTTTGCCCAAGGCCTCCCGGGAAGGCATATTATATTAAAGGAAGTATATTTTCTCTGTGCCATATGGCTATACAATTAGATTTGACCACTAAAGTAATTCAGTCCTTTATTTTCTTTTCTGGACAAGACTAGGTTAACCATGATCTTGAAAGTGGGGTGATGTGGATAGCAAATTTGACTTCACTGTCCTTTTCATTGTATTTCTTTATTTTTTAATTAAATTTATTGGGTGACATCGGTTCATAAAGTTATATAAGTTTCAAGTGTACAATTTGTACCTCTTCTTTAAGTTTTCTAAAAAGATATGTATGCCTGTTGCTTTATTTCAGCCTCACAGTAGTTTGTTAGAGCACGTAAAAATCTCTTCTGTTTTTCTGCAGATGCAACTAAGGCACGCAGAGCCAGGATAAGTTGCCTTAGAATCTTATCTTTTATTAGGGACAGAATTAAGGCTGCGCTGGGACCTCCTGCCCCTGCTGTGAGAATATTCCACTCCACTCCACTGCCACTAGACTTGAAAGTCCCCTGAATATGTTACAAAAGTAACTTGCTGGAGCCTGTTTTGATATGTTTCAAAGAAAGCTTTAGTTGAATTACTTTTCTGAAGTAGTTTACTAGACAGAATTATAAGAAAATAGTTGTACTAGGTAAGAGCCCCATGCAGTATTATGAAGGGATTTGCAGACTGAATTATTCAGAGTCCCTGTGGACACATATAGGCAGTCATTAAATATATGAATTAATGTTACCAATTTAAATGTTACCAATCGATGCATAAATGCATTATTTCCTGTTTAAGTTATTGGAGAAGTTATATTTTTTATATGTGATATTTCCTCATAACACTCTTCTTTTAACAACTTCTGGAGCATTTTTCACACGTAAGTTATTTGAACTTCATTTTGAAAAACACTCTTTTCTTAAATAAAACTTTAGACCCGGTTAGTTAAAATTATATATAAACTGCTGGAACCAACTTATTATTTCTAATAATTATTAAATTTGTATGTTTTAAGGTCTACGCTTAAATTTCATTCTGAAGATAGAGAATCTGATCTAGATAAAAATGCAGGAAAATCTATGTGGTTGAGATGTCTCCATAAGTTCACTCTTTGGTTCACTATTTCTGCTCCAAATACATAACAGTAACAGGTAAAATTTGCAAAGAGAAAACCAAAAGGTAATGTCTTTGCATAAAAAGAAGACAAACATTTCTGTGGAGGCAATGGAACAGAAATGCAAATTGGTGAGTTGGATTGAAGCTTAGAGGCCTACTGAACCCAAGAGTTTGGCTACTGAGAAGTAAAGTGGATTAAAAGTGTGACATGTGAGATTATAAGACAAGAAATGGGGTCTAACTCACTGATTGAAACCAAGGGCTTGGGTAGCAAGTCCAGCTCTCCACACATGAAATAAAGCAGGAGAAAACAAAACCAAACAAACAAACTAAAAAAAAGACTGTTGCTATTTGCCTCCTGGACAAATAGGAGGACACATGTAAAGTCTCAAAACCAGGAATGAGCCAAACTGTGCACCGCTTCCTTGAATATAGCTGTTGTATCCTCCATGTTCACACACCAGGGGCATATAAGTGTCATTAGAAGGCTTGGTTTTGGACCAGGAGCCCAGTGGTTTGGGATCAGTCATAAGACCCCTGAAAAGGGAGATAGGGGAGGGTACAAGAGCTTGAAAGAGAAAACAAGAATTCAAAGTTAACAAAATAAGTCCACTCAAAATGAGTCTGAAAACAAAAGAAAACATCCTAAATACATCTAAGACTAAAAAGGAGAGTAAAAAATACCAAGTAACAGGTCATAAACTCTGGGATCTTGATCCTTGGACTAGAAGCATCAACATCACCTAGGAAATTGTTAGAAATGCAGAATCTCAGTTCTCACCTCAGATCTGCCAAATAAAGCCCACATTTTAACATAACTATCAGGCAACTCATATGTACATTATCGTTGGGAAGCACTGCTGGAAAATAATATATTTACAGAATGGTCTGACATACTTTAACATAAATATGATTAAATTGCTCTAAGAGATGAAAGAAACAAGTTTCTTTTTTAAAAAAAGTAAGAAATTAAGAAATAAGAAAAGGCAAACATGACATACTATTTGGTGAAGACGAAATGGAACGAATTCAAAGTCTTGAAAATGAGAATTATGATCATGGGGGATGAAAATCAATAAGTAGTATATACTGTTAGGGACACAGGTGAAAAGAAAATTAATGAATTAAAATGTTGTCATGAGGTATTTATGCAGAACCAAGTCTGAGAGGAAGAGACAGAAAGAAAGAGCCACTAAAATATAAAGGTTAGACTGAAAAGCACCAATTTACACCCAATCAAACCTATTGGAGTTCCAAATGAGACTGAAAGAAGTGGTAGAGTAGTATTTTTTTGAAGCCATATTTATGGATAATTTTCCAGAATTGAAAAAAAAAATGTTACATTGGAAATACACCCTGAGCACAATGCAGGATAAATAAAATGAACCCACGTTTAGAAACATTGATTAATATAACATTGGTTAATCTGCAGAATATCAATGATAAAGTGAAAATCTTAAAAACCACCAAGGAGAAAAGAGAACCCAAATAGCAATGATAATTAGATTATAAAAGTGTGCCATCAGTAACAATAGATGACAGAAGACCAGGAAGTTATATCTTCCATGTGCTGAGGTAAAGTAACTGATATCAGCTGGACAGGACTGCAGTATTGTTCTCAATTCTTCATCTTGCCCTGTAATCAGACCCTATACCATGCAAATTTGCAATTTGCCTCAGTAAACAGGTGGAGTATATTTCTTTGGTCCTATGACTTGCTTTGGCCAATAGACCAAGTTGGAGATGACAGCATGCCAATTGCAAGCCTGAGTTTTAAGAGGCCTTGCTTGCTCTTATGTGTTTCTGATGGCAAAAGTATGCTCAGGCACTCAGCAGGAGCTGGTTACACGTGGTGAGGTGGGTGAGAGTATCTGAAATACATGGCTGGTGAGTGTTTCTTCCTGGTGTATGGGAGCATCAAGGGTAGAGAGATACCTTGGGCTTTATTAAATGGACTTTTCCCAAGTGCGGCAACTGGTGAGACCATAATAGAGTCGATGTAGAATGAACCACAGCAAACCAGGAACTGGGGAGTGGGGAATACTAAGCTAGACAAATTACTTGCCAGAATTAAAGGAACTAGGTAGGTTAGAAGGCTCTAGGACTGAGGGTCCTACAATAAACTTGTAAATATAATATGAAAGAAAATAAATGACTCAACTTTAAAATACCTGCTATCCTAGGTAAAACTAACACCAAATTATTTGGGTATCTAGTCAAGACTAATCCTTCCTGAGCTTTTTCTCTCTTCCCTCCTGTCCACTTTCAACACCGAAGGGTCCAGAGCTGTTCACCATGGAGGTGGAAGGAAAAGCAGTGAAGAGTGGGGCCAAAGAGAAGTCATGCTAGACTTTCTGCCCTCAGTAGACCCCAAGCTGGACCTGGGGAGAAACTTGCATTTTAAGTGAGCTTCAAAGTGTTGACTGTTACAAGCACCAGGCGTTTTAATTTATGAATTAAGTCTGTCTTGTGATTTAAAGATGTTTATGACAGAAAAGTCATCACAAAAGTCATGAGATATTTGCTAGATTTCCCCCAGGGAACAAGGAAGAACAAGCACAGAGAGAGTTGGAGTAAGCGGTGTGTGTGTGTGTGTGTGTGTGTGTGTGTGTGTGTGTGTGTGTGTGTGTGTATGCGCACACGCACGCGCCCCCTGGGGGGGGGGGGGAGAATGGAGGTGACTGGCAATGAGAGGTGAGAAAAAATCATGTTTCCTAATCTCTTCTTGAGTGTTGCTTGTTCAATCAACTAACTTTAACATGCTGATATATTCATCAGTTTGTTTAAAAGAGGAGGTGAGTAAGGTTTCAGGAGCCGTGTAGGTGTCTGGAGCTGTCTATAGAGAGGAAGCAGTCAGTAGCAGGAAGTCTGAAGAATGAAGAACGAGGGTGCCTCCAATGCAGTGATCAGTCATTCCTGGTATTGTACTATGACATTAAGGAACATACAATTATACCCAGACATTAAGGAACTCTGGTCTTACTCCAGTCTCCTTTTCCTAACTGATGTAGGGAATTGAAAAGAGTCTGTGATGCACCTTTGGATGAGCACCAGATGAAGAGAAAAGATCAGCTGCAAGAGGTGAGACCTACGCAATACCTGGAATAGAGTGGAAGCACGAATTCAGAGCAAGAGGTGACCAGAACACTGAAACTCAGACAATTACTGCTTTTGGAATTTTTTAATGGGGTGTAACTCTCAGGTTTTCTACATGCATAGGATTAGAAGAACTTAAGTATTTGTATTATAAACTATAAAAAGACCAAATTCAGAAAACTAGAAAATTTAGGCATATCCAAGTTACTAACATCTCTGTTAGATATATGGAAATTATCTTAAAACAATTATTGGTAAATAGATTAGTAGGAGTATATTTTAATAAATTATGTTCTAAACAAAATGCAGGTTAATTAATGTTTAGCACATATGCCCAACTGACACCTTATGCTATTTAATACTTTATTCGTTCAATCAGAAGAAAATAAGGCAAAATCATTGAGTGATAAGTTGCTTATTTTTTCTTATGCCTTTGATAGTATTTTGGCTGCTGTGTAATCTTTATGAGACTCAGAGATGCTAAGTAAAGTTAGTTTTCAAGTGTCATTCTTGGCAAGTGAGATATTCCTTTTATAAAAATATCTGCTCAGCTTTGACACTTAGACTGAAGTGTATGTCCACAGATCTGCTATAATGTGAGTATGTCTTTGTTTGTTCTGACTCACAGATCCTTCAGTCAACAAAAGGGCTTTACAGATGAGCAATTCAAGACTGCACAATCAAATGTGGTATGTAAAACTGTTTTTCTCCGAGGACCACTGGCCATCTTACCTTGAAAAACTAGTAACCCAGATGTTGCTATTTAGTTTCCAGATCTCCAGCGAATGCTAGGTATTGTCATTCTCTGAGTAGAAGAATGTTTACTAGCAATCAGAAATAACACTAAATAAGCCTAGAACTTGCTCCACTAGCCAGTGACTCATAGGTGAATAATCTCTTTTCTCCATCTACTAGCAATATCTACAAAATATCAGGAAACTTTTTTTTTAAAGATTTTATTGGGGAATTGGGGGAGGTGAACAGTGTTGGGGAATTGGGGAAGGGGAACAGACAAGTTGTTGTCCTTTTGTTCTTCAGTCCAGTTGTGGAGGACGTTGCTTCACTGGCCCACATTGGTATTATCATTGCGCTCTTCCCAGGTGAGGCAGTTGCTCGCTGTCCATTGGACAGCCACTCACGGCGGCTTAAAGCAGCTCATGAAAGCTCATGCCAGCTGCCGGCCAGCCCCACTGCAGCCTACACCGTCTCTGGCAACTCACAGAAGCTCAGCTCTAGGTCGAGCTGTTGTTCACCATCTTAGTTGTAGAGGGCAGTGTCACTGGCCCTCATATGTGGTATCCAAACTGGGGCCCTGCTGCTCAGAGCTGGCATCCCAAGCCAAGGCTTAACCAATGTGCCACTTGGCCGGCCCAGGAAACTTTCTTTGGGATTATTTAAGGAAACGCTACATTGTGAACTAACCTTGACCAATTCGTTAATGATGATGATGTTTGTTAACATATTTTTGAACCATAATGTCTCCACTCAAGTTTTCATATGACGCTGTTTTCCATTTTTAGTAATAAAAGTAATTTCAAAGCAAAAGCCTATATTTTGGTTATAAATGAATGGTTATATGATGGGACTTCAGAATATTTTAATTGTTTTCACACTTAATCAGACCAAAATAATATTTGTGAACAGATACACATTTACATTTACTCCATGGCATTTTTTCTGGCAAGTCCCAAATCTTAAAGACATTTAGAAGGTGGGCAAATTGCTAAAACGGTGATGACTCTGTCTGGAAGGCAACATCCAGAAATACTTTTGTAAATATCAGAACGTCTCCTAAACAAGTGTGTGCTCAGTATTTTGGCTAAGGTGTCTAATCCCCAAGCAACACAGGTGATCAAGGAAACAACTTGCATTTTCAGACATAATAGTAAGGAAGAAGCCATACCTGTCGCTGGGTACTCACTTTCTTTCATTGCATGTCGAAAACTACCTCTCTTCAATTTAACGTGCCCTAGCCTAATTCAAGAGGTCAAAGGTTCTAATTTCTAATTTACTAAGCAATTTATCACATATTACCTGCACCCTCTCAAGTCAGATCAAATGCTACCACCAAATCATGGCAATGAATCCAGATGTGAGGAACTTTGTGATTAATTCACTGAAAGGATTTGTTGTTAAATATTAGAAATATGCTTTCAATTTGAAACATAAGATTTGTATTCTATTACATAATTATTTAAATAATATTTGTATAAAATATGTAAAAAGGAACAGGGCAAAGCTGAAATTGTCTTTCCCATAGCAATTAACATTAAATTATAAGTTATTTAGAATTCAGATTCAGGTAAGAAACCTCTTGGGTTATGCATAGAGGCATTTGGGAGTACTTAGAAATTTTGCACAAATCTTTCCCAATAGAAATGTTCTCTGGAATAACAAACCATATGTCTATATTTAAGAAATAGAGATTTCCTCTCTATCTGAACTGCAAAAGGAGACAAAAGGCAGAAAAAGAAGGAATTATTTTCCAGCTGTTTGCTGAGCAAAAACCACTGATGCCTAAAGATTCCTACATCTGGAGTTAGAAGGCTTGGGTTCCTATCCCTGCTCTACCATTTATTAATGACAATTTTATAAGCTCAGCATCCTTACCAATACAACTGGAATAATATCAAATGTTGGTAATCATGGTCACTGCCTCACCAATGCAAAGACTGAAAGATTACCACAATATTGGTTGATATTTTTATTATCAAACCCCAGCAATAATAGTTATGGTAAAAATGACAATGTTCTAAAGTCCTACAGCAAAGTAATGATAGCCATTAAGTAGAAATAGTGAAAAATCATGAGCATCTGGAAAATAGATATTGTAATATGTGAGTAAGCAAAGAAGGTAAAGTGTTAATTAGGACACCTGGCAGTTTATATATCATGTATATCTATATAAATATATATCTACATGGCTAGTTGTTATTCATAGTACTAAGCACATGGTGCTAGAGAGAAAGAGTATGCTTTTAAAATATCCAGTCATTTATGTAGTTAATTTTCTATCACATAGTTACCTACCTCATAATTTAAAAGTAAAGTATTAATCACATCCTGAAAAAGTATAAGTTAGTCGCTCTCTGAGTCTCTCTGCATAAGCCGTTTAGTATGGACACTAGGACAATCTTTCAAAATAGACCTTGATTAAAATTCTGACTTTTCCTGTTGTTAAGTTGTGTAAGTGACTGAGTCTTAGTTTTAAACTCTATCAAATGGGAAATACCAACTTTGTTGAGCTGTTATAAGGATCAGATAAAATAATACAATCAAGTCCTTAATACTGTGCCTACTCATGGTAGAAACTCAACAGTAGCAGTTATGATTACCTGTGCTAGTGATATGATTATTATCAACAAAAAAGACCCCAAAATCATCTCTTCTATCATCAAGTATAACATCCTAAGAATTAAAACTGTTTTCACAAATTTAGCTTATTTCAGTGGCAGTGGACAAATATTATCGAGTGTACACTAAGTGTCAAGCATGTAACGGTAAACAAAATGGACTTGGCCCATGATCTCATGGTACTTGGAATCTTATAAAGAGATTTTAAAATATGCCAAAAGAAAGTTACAATAAGTGGTGATTAGCACTACCTTTGGAGAAGTAGAACTGACATGGGAGCACCTATCCTAAACTTGTAAGGAAAAACTGATTGGGGATATTGTAGTAAGGATTACTTAAGGAAAGAGAAAAATACAATTTTATAAGAACAACTCTGAGAAGGCTCAGAAGCCAAATAGAGTGTCATACATTCAAGTAACATAAAAAAGACAAGTGTGTTCAGGTTTGTAGAGTATGGAAAAATGAGAAGTAATGAATAAGACTAAAGAGATAATTTTGAGTCCAATCATCCAGGGCCTTGTAAATCTTAAAGAAGTGGGACTTTTTGTTAAGAGTAACGTACATAGAATAGATTAGAACTAGAACTACCATATTATTCAGCAATTTCACATCAGGGTATTTACACAAAAGAATTGAAATCAGGATCTCAAAGAGATACTAGCACATTCATGTTCATTGCAGCAATAGCCAAGATGTGGAAATAACCTAAATTTCTATTGACAGATGAATGGATAAAGACAATGTGGTATATACATATAATAAGTTATTTTTCAGTCTTAAAAAAAAGAAAATACTACAATATGCAACAACATGGGTGAACCTTGAGGACACTATGCTAAGTGAAATAAGTAAGTCACAGAAAGACAAATACTGTGTGATTCCACTTATATGAATTACCTATAATAGTCAAATTCACCAACTCAAAGAGTGGAATAGTGGTTGCCAGCCGTGGAGGGAGGAGGAAATGGGGACGCACTAATCAACAAGCATAAAGTTTCAGTTAATCAAGGTGAATAAATGCTAGAGATAGATATGCTGTATGACATTTACCTGCAGTCAAAAATACTGTAGTGCCCACTGATAATTTTGTTAAGAGGGAAGATCTCATGTTAAGTATACTTACCAAAATAAAATGTTTTTTTTTTAATAACAAACAGGGTTTAATGTTCAATTATTTTTTTGACAAAACTTTTTCAGAAGCACATTTCATAAGAGTGCAGATGCTTATACAAAACCCAAGGTATGGAATCACCTTCCATGTAAGGGGTAGTAACACACAGGCCACAAAACATGACACTTCCAAGCCTTTCAGCTCTACAAAATACAATGTTTACTTTGAAATGTTTCTTTTAATGCCAAAGTGTGCCAGTGGCTTTTCTAATGGGTTAATGGTACCTTCTATATCCTTAGATGGAATGTACCAGAAATAAGATGTTTTCTTTTGTGAGTTGGGCTATCAACTGAACAGGGAAAGAACTGTTCAACTGGAAGCTACTCAAATGGCGACACCAAGCTTGAGTACAAACAAATGCTGACCTCTGTCTTGGTTCTAAAATGCTGCTTCCTTTCTCCACAGCCAATAAAGCAATATTTTTTATTTCCTTCAGTGACACATGATAGAGTTCAGTGAGAAAAAGTAATTCTGCAGTAAATTCTGCAGGCAAGGAATTGAGGAAATTGGGAGGTCCTGTCCATTAGCTCATTTTTAAGGCCAGGATAAAAGAAAACTGTGGATTTAAGAAGAAATAGAAAAATTGGACCAAACTCCTTCTGGATTTTAACTTTTTAAAAGTCTCACTTTCTGCTGATTCAGTTGAATATAGCTTTTTGCCCTTTGCCTTTTACTGTTTTCAATTCTTAATTTATTTTTTATTTTTATTTTTTTTTTACTGTCACTCCATTCTACACACACTGGCCACTTACATTTCACATTTTGAAATAATCACTGAGTTTTACAGGGCAAAAAAAAAAAAATCCCTATCAGACACACACCATTAACATCTGGAATAATAGATAAAAGAAATGAACTTGAAATTCTGCTTTCTGAGAATTTATCTACCTTAAAGAACTTGTGAACACAAAATTTTCCAAGAAATACAATTCAAATCTTATAAAGTTTGCTATTTGTTTGCAATTCACAATAATCAGCTTACCTTAAATCTTCCATTACATCTATTAGCCCTTTCAATCTCTTAAAGATTTCCCATAAATCGTTAATGCTTCCTTCCCCCTTAGGCGTTATGTTCTGTTCCAGCAATCACAGATTAGAATTAAGTCATGAAAGCCTTTGTTAATTCAATAAGGGGAATTTTCAGTAGAAAATAATGAGAGCTCCCTAAAGCACCATAAAATGCTACATTTAGATTTAATATCAATACCTGCACTGACTGAACTGTATCTCTGCAGTTCTACAGATCTTCCTAACCAAAGATCTGTTCCCTAGTGGGTTAAGGATGATGCCCAGGGAAAGGGCTATGTGCTGGAGGACAATATAGAGCCGGCACATTGGAGATGCTTTTCCTCTCAGTAACTCCTTCTTTGTAGTGGGATTGACTTTAGATTCATACTACTGGTCCTCAGAGTCCTCAAGGTCCATGGTCATTGTAAATTTTCTTATTTGTCCTTCTTTACAACTAATGCTTTCCCTTCCCTTGTGAGTTTTTCTCTTTGGATCCACTCTCATTAAAAATAATTTTTAAATTTTTCTTATTAACGTAATGAATACAACAAATAATGATTGCATCCTCCTTCAAAAATTCATGCATTGACAGATAGTAAATTACAGTCCAACTAAAAAAGAGGAAATAAAGGTTAAACAAGAAACCATAATTCGGATTAGTTTAACAAATTCAAGAGTATGCTGACACGTTATTTACGAATGCCAAGACTTGGAAACAATCAAAATGCCCATCGGTAGATGACTGGATAAGAAACTGTGGTACATTTACACAATGGAGTATTACCCAGCTATAAAGAAGAAGGAAATCGTATCATTTGCAACGATATGGATGGACCTAGAGAACATTATGCTAAGTGAAATAAGTCAGTCAGAGACAGACAAATACCATATAATCTCACTTATGTGTGGAATCTAAAGAACTGAGTAATGTAAACAGAAATAGTCTCAGAGACACAAAGGAAAAAACTGATGATTGCTAGATGGGACAGGGGTGTGGGTGAGGGAGAACAAGAAGGGGCAAGAAAACATAAATTGGTAACTATAATATGGCCTCAGGGATAGAAAAGACAGTTTGGGGAATATAATCAATAATGTTATAAATATTTTTAGGGGGCCAGATGGTCTCATGTCTTGTTAAGGAGACCACTTCATGGATGGTGTAGAGGCCTGACCACCTCACTGTACACCTGAAGCTACCGTTGAATAACATTATATGTCAACTATAATTTAATACATATATAGTCATGGGATGTGGAGTATAGTGTGGGAATGAAGTCAATGGAATTGTTATAAATATGTATCATATTGTGGGGGGGCAGTGGGTAGGGGAAGGAGGGTTATCACTTTGTGAGGGGTGAAAAGGATAACTATTGCATTGTTTTGTACACCTGAAACTAATAATAAATAAATAAATAAATAAATAAATAAATAAATAAATAAATTTGTTGGGAAGAATTGCAATAGAAGTAAGGGGAGTCACTAGTAACAGAATGCCCATGTTTACATAAAACAAGATGGGGTTCTGCGAAAATACACTGGAAATGTGGCATTAACTCAATGTATTTGCCCATTAGGTATGAAAAGCACAGTATATTTGAAGTCTCCCTTTGATTTACATAATCTAGTGTAGATAAAATTAGAAAATTACAATTTTAAGTAAGGCATGGGACTCTCTTTTCCTCCTACCTAATTACTCCTTCACTCATTTCCTTACCTGGTATACCTGAGTCAGGGCTTGGAATCTATTCAGCTCCAGCATAAACTATTGGGTTGTTGGAAAAGTCATGACATATTTTGTCTAGGTTTTTCAAAGGTCATTTATTTATATAAAGAACAAAGATCAATCAATGATATATTGCCCGTTTTGTTTGATAACCTTTTGCCATTTTTCGGTGAGCTCCATAAGTCCTCGTTCATAGAAGGACCTGTCTTTATTTGCAAAAAAATGAACAAGATGCTGATTTATAGCCTCATCTGAGTTGAATGTTATACCACGCAAGGAGTTGTGAAGACAGCAAAACAAGTGGAAGTCTGACAGCGTGAGGTCAGGTGAGTAAGGTGGGTGTGGCAACACATCCCATCCAAGCTCCAATAATTTTTGACAGGTGATCAAACTTGTGTGTCCTCTCACGTTGTCGCGATGGAACACAACTCCTTTACAATTAACAAGCTCTGGACATTTCTTGGCAATGGATTTGTTCAAACTGTTCAATTGCCAACAGTACAAATTCGAATTGATTGTTTGGTTCTTTGGTAGGAGCTTGAAAAACATGACACCTTTAAAATCCCACACACTGAGAGCATAACCTTCCTCTGATGAATGTCTGCTTTAGATGTCATTTGAGGTGAATCATCATGTTGGGACCAAGACTGTTTGCACACTACATTGTTGTAAACAATCCACTTCTCATCACCAGTTATCAGTTGCTTCAAAAAAGGATCGTTTTCCTCACGTTTAATGAGCATATTGCAGATGTTTATACATGCCGTCAAATGAACTTCTTTGAGTTCATACAGAACTCAAATATCGGGCTTGCTTACGTATCCCAGCTTCTTTAGGTGGTCGTGAGCAGTTGAATGATGGATGTTCAATGTTTCTGCAATCTCTAGTTTCGTGTAACATGGGTTTGACTTGATCAATGCCTTTCTTTTGTCGTCATCAAACTTGGTGGGCCTCCCTGAACAAGGAGAGTCATTGAGATCAAAATCACCGGCACGGAATTTCATGAACCATCGTTGGCACCAACATTCTTGTAGAGCATTATCACCGTAAACTTTAAGCAACTTTTTACAAGCTTGATGCGAGATCTTTCCTTTCTGGAAGTAAAACAGTAAAATATGGCAGAAATGCATACCTTGGTCTTCCATCTTCAACTTGTAAAATCTCCAAAACTCAATCAAATTGCTCAATTTTTTTTTAGAAGTAGGCTAAAACTGTCAGTTGTCAAATGACATAGCAATAACATAGATGCAAATGACTCTAGTACTTCTAAAAATGAACCAGTGCCATGTGTCACAAACATGTGTCATGACTTTTCCGACAACCCAATAGCTTTATGGTCTTGCAAGGATCTAACCCCTTGGAGCCTCACCTCTCTCTAAAACCAGACAACCCTCTATGATATGCAAAGAGAATACTCATGAGAAGTGTTATTTTCCTAGGTGTGCCTGACAAGTAGAGAGGCTTTCTACAATGAATGGAAATAGCCAGGAACCATAAATTCAAACTTCCTTCTTTCTTCCCCCCCTCCACCTCTCCCCCAACCCCGCACACACACAGACCTTCCTTCTCCCTTCCACCTTAATTCAATCAGGGAATCCCCTCAGGCTTTCAATTGGTACTTCTGGAATGCTGGAAATTTCTCCTTAATCTCATCAGGCTCTGAGGCAATTTGCAATGCAAATGGACATAAGAGATGCATTACCTGCCTCTGCTAAGTGTGTACTCGACAGAATCATCTGGCTCACTTCTTCTAGACTAAGCTACACGTCTCAGGCCACACGGGAGGCTGAAGCTATGGAAGCCCATCCATCAACCTTGGAAGACCTGTCTTGGATGAGGCAATGTCCAGAGCCCACCATGCCACCGGGCCTGAACCGAGAACAGGCCTGGGCCTAAGGCCATGGATAACGTCCCTGCGCTGAGCTGCCACTCCTGCAAAACCGGCCACTTCTACTGGGACCAGAGCTATGGTGCCTATGTGCTGCTGCGCCATGCTTGCACTTGGGATGGAGATGTTCCCGGAGCTGAGAGGGGCCAGAAACTCCCTCAAGACCCGCATGTCCAGGATCCAATGGCTGAAACCGAGATAGAGTGACTGTCACCTCAAGAAGAGGGCGATATGACAGACCACACAGACCAATGGCACATGCACCAACCAGGGGATGCCAGCAGAGGTGGACAGACATTTGGTTGATTGCCGCCAGGAACCCAGGCCGCCCCAAGAAGCTGCTGAAAACTGAGGCTTAAAATAGGGTGGAACCCGAAAAGAAACCCCAGCCTTAGCCTGGCCTTCAGCACTTCCCCTGAACCGATGTCCTGGATAGAGCCCCAGACACCCAATGGATCCCTTCTTCTGTATGCATGGACTTGGCTGTGACAACACCTTGCATGCCTAGGAGACTTGAGATTTCTGTGATAGAGAACATTCTTTATTTCATTCTTTCTCTCCTGGATGACTTAAAGGTTTTTCAATTAATAAAACTCTTCGTGTAAAAAAAAAAAAAAAGATTATGCTGACAAAATTGTAATGCTTGGATCATTAACTTGTGGTAGTTGACTGAATTAAGAATTGTTCATAAATGAAACATTTCCTATAATGTTACAAAACCAAAATAACATTTAAAAAATTACTTCAACTCTTCTTTAAGGATATTTTTGCTCCCCTCTCCCACATTGTTTTTTATGAAATACTAACAACATGGAGTGGCTTTCTCCATTTCAGTTTACCAGCTGTAGACATTTTTCACTTAAGTAAACCAACTTCGATGACGTTAAGTCCTCAAGACATTTACTGACTTAGACAACACACATGAAATAAATAAAGTAAGAAAGAAAGAATTTAAAGACCAGGTGTTCTCTTGCTCACACTTACGGCAGAGAGAAAGAGAAAGAATAAAGAATATGAGATACAGGTGAGAGAACACATTGTTGCTATTGGCAACATGGTTCAGTAATATCCATAAAGGTGAAGTTCATAATGTATTACACTTCCAAATTATATTTTGACATTGCATGTATATAAATGACAAGAAAACTTTTTAAATTACTTTGATTGTATTTCCTTCCTTTTTTGTTAAGTGGAGTCTACAACTGCTCCCAAAAAGTGAATGGTTCATAGCTGCATGATCAAACTTTTTGTGTTTGGGTCTTTGTGTGTTCATTTGGTGTGACTACGCATATATTTGTTAGCTTCAGCTGTCATATTTACACTCTCAGAGAAAAACTGAAATTGTTTGCTGTGGAAGAAGCTCAAGCAAAACAGAAGCGAAGAAGAGAAGGGGGCAAAAGTAGAGAAAGAGCTAGAACTTGTATTTGTTTCACTTGGAGTGCTCTAAACTAGTAGTAATGAAATATGCTGGCCTACATCTTAGTGTATATTTAAGACTATTATTTCTAAAATATCACAACTTCCATATATAAAGAGAAATACCTGTGACTTATCAAACTTTGGAAATTACTTAACGCTTCAGAGTCTGGAATAACTCAGAATATGAAACAACTCTATAAGGAAAGACTGCCCAATGTCAAAAGCAGATGAGAAACCAGATTGAGGTCAGAGCATTCCGGAAGTGTGGTGGTAGTCTATAATCCACCAAGAACCTGATTATATGCTTTCTTCTCACTTTAGGAAGTGATGTTGTCAGGTGAACTGCTAAATGTAAAACACTCATGTCCCTTTTGGTTCTCTAAGCTGACCCCAGATGCTCCAAAATTGTTTTGACAAAGTATTTCTAATCTTTTCTTTCCTGGGTTGCTTACATTAAGGCCATCTGTTCTATCCTCTATATGTGGAGTGTCAATGTCATCCTTCATACTATCTCAGTACTAGTGACAAAGTAGGTGCATAATGACCTGACTCTGTATTGTCCATTTTGGTTTTGAAATAACCATAATTAAGAGGAAAGGTTAGACAGGACACAATAAAATATTTAAAATTAGTGAAAACAGGGGAATAGCTTAGAATAAAATTACTTAGTACACCTCATTTCATTTTTCCAGAATGAATTCACTATCCCTTACCCAAAACCCTTGGACCAAATGTGTTTCATAATAAAGATTTTCTTTTTTTCAATTTTAGAAAGTAATATGGTGCATTTGCTACTTATTAGGGAACACTTACAGTGGGTTCTAGGACAATGCTCTGTAATTAAGCACATTAATTTAACTGCAACAAAATAGTTGAATAATCACACTAAGTAGAATAAAAACTATAAATAGCCACATGGCTGCTCTGGTCAGGTTTTGCAGCCAAATGAGTTAATTTTTTTCGCTTTCAGTGCTTTTGGATACCAGACTGTGGATTGTGAATAATACATGGTAGGTACATAATTCTTTTTCCTGTAGATATTTTGAAAGTAATTCTTTTATGATAGCTGCAAATATTAATACAACATTACTAAATAAAACCCCAAAACTGGTTGGCTGGATTTCTTAACATTTATTTACTGAACTCATCTGTTTGAATTGAGGTTATTTACTCAGAAAAAGAAAATATATTTTGATAAGTCTTCAAGTGGTTTAAAGATTACAACACAGGTATGAGAGCAACTATCCTCTACTTCTAAAGACAACACTAATTGAAGTGATATTAAGCTTCAGGAGATTGGACTGAAAAAGCATTTACTAACACACTATGACTTTTGGAATTGTAAGGCATTGTAGGAAAATGGTCATAAGATGCTTAGAAATTGGTCCTTTCCATAGAAAGGGGAGAAAGATCCAGACAATTGTCTATCTAGAATGGTAATATTCAGTTTATACTTAAGGGAATGAGGCCCTATGTTTATGATATGATAAACATTTGAAAACCATGTGTCCTGACAGTGAGAGACCCATCATTGTCACTTCATTAATACCAATGTTTTGCCTGTTTCCTTACATCACCCACGCCCATCATCCAGAATGGAGCCACATCATACCTTAAATACAAAATGGTGGCTGGGTGGCTAGTCTACTATTTTCACTTACAAGTTTCTATATTTATTGACTTTACATGTGGTTAAGTGTCTTATTTAAGAAAAATATATCGTTGACAATAACAGAGTAATTACACAGTCATTGCTTCAATCTGGCTATATAAATCATTGTGATTTAGCCTACAGTAGTAATAAAAATAAATGATATTGTTTTTGGTTCATTACTGCTGATGTAATAAAATGTAATGAATTAAGAAATTTCCTGAGTGAAACAGACTCATAAAAATAACAATTTACTAATGGTGCTGTAATACCCAATGTGAATGAATAAAGAAAAAAAAACATTTTAATAAAAATCTATCTTTATTTAAAAAAGGACTCTATCTTTAAGAAAATGTCATCCCCATTTCTCTCATCCACTGTCTTCTAGTGCAAATGCATGTTTTGATGGCATCCATAGATTTCATTACCAGGAACTGTAGTCTCAAAATGATTGCTTGTTTATATAAAAATTTTAATAAAAATTCCAGGAACTCATGAGTTTATGGGTAGCCTATATATATTTAAGGAGCAAGACATATTCCATTTTCTGGGTTGCTTATGTGCCAAGAACTAACTCTTATTAATGAGCCAACATTCAGAATGGGAAAAACTATCCCTTCTCCATTTGTGTTGTATTATGGAAAGACCATTCCAACTTTCTCTTATGGGGTGTCTTATTTCTAGACTTGCTGTCTCCCTCTCTCTCCCCATATCCTTCCTTTTTAACTTTTGCCCCCTCCCCATTTCGCACATTACAAAGCAGAAACACGTGGTCTGTTTCTTCTCACATCAAAGATGCAGAAATTATTTGAAATTTATGTTTCTATGTTTATTTTACTTTAAAATATAATTATCTGAATTTCAGTCAGTACAAGTCCTAATTGAATTATTACATTCCTTGATAATACATTGTTCTTTTTTTGTTTATAAAAGTGATACATATTAATTGTGGAATGAGAGAATAAATAATTTGACATCCCACTATTTTGTAATAACACTTAATATTTGGCATATTTACATTCTTCCTTGCCACACATTCAGATGTGCAAAAAATATTGCTTTTTTGTTTTCTATAACTAATTTTCCCTTATGACTTTGAGTCCCCATTCCACCAGACTGACAGACATACAAATTTGACCTTGGTTCTTTCTCAAATCTCCTATCTCCTCTAGGGTTTTGTCCTGGTTCCTGGATCATACACAGCATTAAGACACCAAAGGTTCCACAGGTTATTTAGTCATTGATCATATAGGATCCTGCTGAAGAGTGATCAGAACTAATTGTTAGTGTGAGAACTGAGAAAGCCAGGAAGAGTGAGTATCATATAAGATGATGCATACATACCTAAAACCATTTATTTTAACTAAAAACAAAGACTAAGGCATAAGGATTTGATAATATCTTGACATGGGACCACAACTTTCCCTATGACTATACTCATGTGTGAAGAGATTGTCATATAGTCTGTCCTGTATAGTCTACAATTTCAAATATTGTGTTTAAAAAAGTGATATGAATATTTAAAGATACATGTAATCTGAGAAATCTTTTAGATTTTTACACTACCCCACGTATTTTTATATTGTATCACCTGTATGTAATTCCATAGTAATCTTTTTATAGAGACTCACCTTTATTTAATATTTCCAAATCATCAGCTTTGTTGTTACAGAATAACACCTTTTTCACACCCTATCGGTTGTATTTAAAATTGAATTCAATTATTTAATTGCAATAATAAGCTCAACTGGCATAAAGAAGCCTTTGAACATTTATGCAACTCACTTTTGGCAAGCAAATAGTTCAACAGGTGAGCATGGAA